TATTCTTAAAATAATCAGCATGTCCAGGCCAATCCACATGCTGATTATGTTAGGAAAATATAATATATTATTTCACTTTTTTTATCTTCTTAAAAAGTGACAAACTTAAAAGGTGACAGGAACCTAAAATGAGTGACAAAATTTTAAAAAGTGACATAACGTCACTTATAAAATTGACGAGCAACTTTGAAATACTTATATGGTAATTCATAAAATTAAGTAAGTGACAATATGATACAATCTCACTTTTATAAAAAAAATGATTTTGTTAGTTAAAAAAGTGACCAAAAAAATCAAAAAAAGTAATAGAACATAGTGACAAATACTATAAAAAGTGACAGAATTTAGAAAAAACAGTAGATAGCTAGCAATCAAGAACAAGAGGCAGAAAATGAAAAACAAATATTTCCCCCTTTAGATCCATAATATTAATTGTACGAAACATTTGCATATTCCATTGTTAGTCACAACCGAAATGTGCAGTTCATTTTATTTATGTTATTATCATGGATTAAACTAGTTGTACACACTTTGTGTATATTAAGTTTGACACTTCATGTATTGTCAAAATTTATGCCATCAATTGTTTAAAGTATTGATAAAATCAATGTGTAAAAAATTGTTACCTCATAAGAATGTCAAACGTAATGCCAATAAAGATGGAAAGCGTGATAAACTCGAAGTTCCACTAAATTAGAATTTTCTTTCAGTTAAAACCTAAAAAATGTCTCAACTCAAAGTTGAACACAAAACATATTATCCACCCAAATAGGCTCCAAATATATTACTGAACATCCTACTATTCCATAACTGCAAGTGAATTAAATTCTAAGATCAATTCCAGATTATTTCATGCAGATGCTTAGGAAATAATGAAGATATGAGCGTAGCAATACCAGCAGAACGAAGCGATCTCCCTTATCATTATACAAATCAAACACTTATCATTGAGAAAACTTTGGTCGACCAGGCAATGATCCTTCATTCCCCTAGAACTGTTCGTTCAAATCTCCACTAGTCCCATTCTCGAGCTTCATTTTCATTTACAACTTCGCTAAAAACTGTTGGAAATTAGTGGTGTTGTTTTGGCATAATTTTGCGTTGGGCTCGTTTCTTCTTTTTTGAAAGGTCAAGGTAGATTCATGTTCTCTTCTTCAAGAACATCAAAATCATATTTGCCCAAAATGATGCTCAAACTATACATGTTGATTTACCATTATCGCGATAAAAGTTATATTGGCACAAGAAATTAAAAACTAAGCTCCCTGTAGATTTACCATTATTCATTAAAACATTCTTACTGCAACATTTTCATTTGGATAAGAGTTTGACATTTACGGTTCAATTTTGAGATTTGAAAGACAAAATTCCATATTTGATACTTGTGAGTTAATTCGAATTTCTTGTGGGTTAACAATATTATTTAGATAAAACACAAAAGCAGTAACAGAGCAAAAAAAAGAAACTATGAAGCATTCAAAAGTGAAATTGAAATTAAAGTTATTCACAAATTTACAAGGAAATAGAGCTTAACCCCATGTTTGTAAGCCTATGAAGAAAGTTTTCTCTTCATTGAAGATCCGTCAACCGAATTACTCTTCCTCTTCATAGTCGTCGGTTCAGTTTACTTCAATCTCTTTCTTCACCCATGCATCCGAGATCTGTAATGTTGTTGGCACTGTTAAATGATGGAGTAGCGTGGATCACAAAGTATTTAATAGTGACGATAAACAAAACACTTTTTTTCAGAGATGAGTGGATTTGAGCATAGTTTGAGTTAGCACTTGGTTGGGGCTGTATGTGATTTCTTTTCAATAGTTTTCACGTAGAAATTATGGTTAATTCGGATGTCAATGAATAAATTAGTAATTTAGGGAATTAATTAATTCTCTTGGTTTTTGGTCGTACTTAGCCTAATTTCCTTAAAAAAATATTCTTGAAACGATCCATTAAGAGTATTTTTATGAAGTTCTTAAATTACTTGAGTCATCCAACGACTACTGTCTAGAATTTCTGAATTTACAAGATTAGCCATTGGTGGAATTAAAATTCGATTTTTAGTATATTTTCATAAAATTTGATATAATGTGTGATTAAAAAATTGTTGATATCATGAAACATGTGGTTAAAATTGATTATTTATTTTGACTAAAATTAAAATTTTAATTTTAATGAACCGAATTTAAGATTTTTCAACCAGAATAAGTGACTACTTCCAACAAAGTGAGTCTCACATGCATATGACAGTCAAAGTCAACCATTTATCTTACAATTAACTTTCAATCCGAATTCCAAGTATGTAGTTTATGTATAAATACTCCATGCACATGGCCATCAAAGAAATTGCGTGAATTTTTATTTGGAAATAATAATCAAATATTAAAGAATTTTTAATCAATTATCAGGTGATTTATGAAAACCATGGTCAACCATTCAAAGCAATTTATTGATTAAATTATTCTTTGACAATTAATGCCACTTAATACAATGTCTTATAATTAATTATGATCAGATATAATTATCATTTGGATAGTTTTATTTATAGTCGACATGGTGCCAAGAAAAATAACTAAAAAATTGGATTTTAACTTTTAAGTATAGCCAAACATGCCCATAACCTAGGCATAAATATATTATGCTACGCTTGTTATTTCAAGAAGTAACTTTCAGATAAAAACATAAATAACAAGTTTATTTGTTACAGTGGATTGACAATAATGAAAAAAAAAAGTTTAAAGGAAAAAAAAGTTAGAAATCTATCTATTGTAATGTGAAGTCATCTTCAATAATTCTACCAAACATGCCCCTATGGACATTGCAATTGAAATCAACACATTGCTCCCATATTCAAAATATACCTTCCAAGAAACTCCAAAAGAAGAAAAGAAAAGTGAGAAGTTGGTTTGATTAAAATACAAGGAATATTTTGCAAATTATAGTGATTTTACATGACATCCAAAATAAAAATTCAGCAGCAAAGAATGTCTACTAACTGGAATAAGTGAAAAACAACATTAGAATGCTTTTAGCACACATTGTCCCTTGACAAAATGTTCAAGAAACAGAAGCATGTTATGCCCATGTTTGGTACAAATTTTTTAAACTTTTTTTTTTCTTTTTTTCTCCCAAATTCATTTCCACCACACATTTTCTCAATAAAATAATTTTGCACGATGATCCACATTTCTCTACTTTTTAACTACATGTTCTCCGAAAAATACAATCTTCAAGAAATCTACAAACAAATTTTATATCGACCTAGTATTCTTACATATAAATGTTTCTTTAAGAGGATTCATGTGATACAAATGCTAAGGCATGATATCACTTTTTTTTTTAATCATGAAAATGTGTGAACGTAACACTTAAAACTAAATTATTACCACTATGAAACTTTTGTAGTTACATGTGTGCATTTCTGATTCCGTTTTATTTAGTGCTTGTCTGAAATAGATTAAAAAGTTGACAAAAGTTAAGTCAAAAATCAATATTTAATTTTAAATACAATGTTCATGATATCCAAAATATTTATAAACTTTTCAATTACATATTTTATCATTTTTTTTAATCAAAATCTTTGTCAAACAATCCTAGTGCACTAGGAATTTATTATCAAAATCCAAATTCTGCACTTCTGCAACAAAAAATATTTCCTAAATCTTTCTCAAATTTGTAGCCTTTAAAATGAAATGCCAAAAGGCACCTAGGGTTAATTAAATACTCCATCAGTATCAGTCTCATTCATATAGACTGATTTTATCTTTCACACGGATTAAGAAATTTTATTTAATGTTATTGAAAAAAAATTTGTCAAAAACTAACATAATTTATCCTTGTGTAATTATCAACAATTAGCAATAAATTATTGTTGGAAGTAGTAAAGAAATAAGAGTGTAATAGTAATTAAATCAAACAAAACATTTTCAATAAAGAAACAATATTATATATTTGGCAAAAAAAAAAAAAAGGAAAGTCAGCCATATAAATGGGATATAGAGAGTATTACATACATTTGGTGTTAAGAGATAAAATTCCACATCGAATATAAATGTAAACATAAATCAACTTATAAAGAATTGAGTTACCCCCCTCAGTAAGGTTGACCTTTTAAGATGGAACCTCAATTCTTAACATGGTTTCAGAGTTCATTAAACTCTAAATAGCAATTTGATCTGATTAATACTCCAAAAGTAAGCAATACGAATTTCAAGATGGTCTGCTCAAACGAGTCACCATCTTGAGGGGCATGTTAAGGATAGAATTTCACATCAAATATAGATGTAAACATAAATCAATTTATAAAGAATTGTAATACTCCTCTTAATAAAGCTGACCTTTTAAGATGGAACTCCAATTCTGAACATTTGGCACCACAAAGTTTAAAGTTCCTAAAAACATTCCATACTTGCACCAAGCCAAAAAAAAATAAAAGTAAAAAAAAGTGAGTACCAAACCTTCCAAGAAACAATGCCGATCCATCACCCCTCCGACACAAAACAAAAAACCCAAAGGTTACTAAGTTGGGCTATTTGGAGCAAAAAAATTATTTTAAGGATATTCTGAGTATTTAGTCCTGTTTGATAATTATTATTTTAAATACTTATTTTCAATCATGTTCATACGGTAATATTATGCAAGTAAAACCCCAAAATATTGTTTTTTTCCAAATAATGATTGTCAACCTGGTCTTAATACATATTACCTTATAAACGATTTATTTAACTGGCGCTTTTTGTGCAAGAGAAGTGTGAGAAAAAGTCTCGTGTCGTCTCTTGAAACGGCAAATAAATATAACTCTCAAGTCTCAAATAAAGATGAATTACTAGAAATTTGTGTGTTTATTTGTTTGTTTCCAATTTTTCATTCGATTCACTATTATGACAGAAAAAAAATCAACTGAAGAATAGAAAGGTGGAGGAAGAGTTTACCTGGATTAAATATTTGTAGAAAGAATAAAGCACAAAGGGCAGTTATTTTTGACAAGATATTCATTTTAACACTTAAGGATTAACGCTCCTGCCCTCTTCGTTTTTGGCTTTTTGCTGCTGCTGTGGCTGCGAGTGCGATGCCTGTGGTTCCTCAGGCTGCAGCTGAATTAGCTGCTGTAGACGATGAGGAGAAGCATTCTCTTGCGGCTGTTGCTGAAAGAAATACTCATGTGGCTGAAGCTGAAGCTGGTGAGAATGTGAGTGATCCTGTGCCTCCTGCTGGATGTGGTGGAGAGGGTTGCTGTCATAAGAACCCAAAGCCAAATGCGGCGGCGGCATAGCATCTTCATCTGGGATTTGTGTAAATCCGGTGGCAGTCACCGGCCCTCCGGCGTTATCGAACCCAACATTATACCTCACTAAGTCTTCCTGTTGCTGGTGTCGGTGCTGTTCATAAGTCCTCAATATCTCCTGCTCCCCCGCAGCAGCCAATTGCTGTGCATCAAGAATCTGCTGCTGGGGTTCCCGAATAATCAGCTGCGCCCCGTGTGACACTCTGGACGGCATCGCCATCATCGGCTGCATATTGTACGGCATCGCCTGAAAAGCCGAGGCCCCATAATTTGGATTCTGCTGCTGCATGAAACCTTGTTGATTCAGCATAGGAAGCATGGCTGCAGGCCCAATGTAAGTAGCCAATTCTTTCTTTGCAGTAGCCAATTCATTATGGACTTGCCTCAGCTTGTGCTGAAGGATAGATATTAGGCCAACACAGCCATATATAGGATCACGAAGCCGGTATTCGGCCTCGTACGCCAGCGAATTAACGGCATCCTCTCGTTGACTTGCGTTGAGTTCATTGAGGAGTTTTGCCACGTTACTCGCCCCGAAAACTTTATGAACATTAGCAAATTTCTGGGGGTTGTCCGGCGGAAAATATGGCGCAAACACACACTCTAGCGTGCACTTCCGTCGGAGAAATTTGCACGCTGCACACGGAGAGGATGTAGAAGACATTTTCGTCTTCTTTACTTCTAATAAGAATATCATTAATCATAAAAATAAAAACCATTAATGAACATGAATCTTAAAAAATCTCAAGGGAAGACTAGATTCGATGAAAACAGTTTGTATATATACACTTGCACATCTATATCTGTGTAACTTAGATTTAATAATAAACATTAAATGTTTGTACAATCAAAGAATACATTAAATTCAGCAAAATTTTAAAAAAATTCCAGATGGAAAGTCAATTAATTCATAGTTAAAATATCAAAATAGAATCTCAATCAAAAACTAAATAATTGTTTACTGAAACTAGGAAAATTATCCATAAAATGAAGAAGTGGAATCCATTAAATTACCTTCTATAGAACTGGATCAACTTGGAAAGCGAGAAAACTTTTAGCGCAGTGAAGAATTTTCTAGATCCAAAACAATTTAAACTTTTAAACGAGATCTTGAACCCAAAGAAAAGGTCAACAAGATAACTCTTTTCGGTTAGATGATTCCAAATGTTAAGATCTTTTCTTATCTTCAACCAAATCAAATCTCTAAATATCCAAAACAAACAAGAAAGAGAGATTGAAAGATTTATAAAATTCTTACCTTGGATTAATTATGCTTGAAAATCCGATTTCAAATCTGTAATACTTTTATCCTCCCCAAACAAAACAACCGGAAAAGAAAAGATGAAAACGAAGAATTGATGTTGTTTTCTTGTCGAAGAAAAGTTGAAAACGGATGAATTAACCTTCGGTTTATCGGAGAAAGTGGAGACCTAGGGTTCGAGTACGTGAGCTCTTGATCCAATCTTCAACTTCTGCAATCCCGAGAAAATTGAAGGAAAAAAAAAGAAAAAACTAAACACATTTTTTTTCTTATTCAAACAAGAGATCAGATGAACTGTTAAAAATCAGAAAAAAAACAAATGATACAAAACGTGCAGAAACGAAGAGATCATTGCCACAGAGTCTACGTTAGTTACAAAATGTCAATGTAGAGAGAGAGAGAGAGAGAGATGTATGTATATGCGTGTTCTATATAGGAGTTTATCAGAACCCCTAATTCTGGTAGCGTAATCTGAACCGTCCATTTGAATAAGGAGAATGCGCTTGGCCGTTGGATTAAGAAATGTGATTAGGGTTTGTTAATATATAGAGAGGAATAGGGGAGGGCGAGGGGGAGGGTTAAGCTTTTTTAATTTATTTTATTAAATGAGAGAATGATTTGGTATTCTTCCCAAAGCTTTTCTTTTTTATATATATAATAAAATACGATCATCCATCATTTTTATATACTTATCAATTATTTTTTTTAAAAAAATTACATTTTTAATTTTATGTAAAATTACTTAAATATACAAAAATAAAACAAAACAAAATCTTTCATTCTAAATTCATTCAATGTGGTTGAATATAATGCTTTTTAATTTTTTAAAAAAAGTTTTTTTAACAAGGATAGATTTGGATGGGGAAATAGATATTCGAAAAGGGTGAATGAAAATAGGAATTCCCCAAAACAATTGCAGTAGCATTAATTGATATAGATTAAAATAGCATGACTAATAAAAAGTGGCAAGCTATCTATCCCAAACAAAAAGACATTATTCGCTAAAGTATAAGATTTCAGTTCATCGGCTACCTAATTTCCCTTACAAGGAACAAAGCAACAAGAACCATTGCTAACCTCCCTAAGATCCTCTGGAATATCATGAAGAAGCAACTCATTCGGTGCAAACTGAAATCCTCTGTAATTGTTTCATTGTCACAAGAAAATCGCACTCGATATATTATAGTAATGTTCTAAAAAGTGTAAAGTATGACTAAGCATAGAGATCAAGTTTCAAGTTTTACGAGCCTGGAGAACTTAAGCGGGGCCTAGGCATAAAAAAATAAAAAGCAAAAATTAAGCTCATAAATTCACTATTTCAAATAGATAATATAAAGGGATAATCGCTGCAGCGGTACCAAACTTTTCATTTACTTTGTCCAAACCTTTCAATTGGGCCACCCACGATACCGAACCTTTCATTTTGTGCCACCAACGGTACCAAATCTTTCAAAATGTAGCAGCTGAAGTTCAAATGGATGGTTTCTGTTAGTTTGACCATTAGTTGACCAAATAATTAACTTTGCCAATAATGTTGACTGATTTTAAAATGTTAAAATGGTAATTTTATATTTTTAATAATAAAATAACTAAAATCAAATAATTAAAATTAAAAATCCATATCTGGGAAATCAACCTCTTCGAATCCTCGAATCTATGGTGCTAGAAACTTGTTGCCCAACTATGTAGATCTACGTGGACCGGATCAGAGATTTGGACTTAACAACTGATCAGAAATGGAGCTCCTCGATAAAAATATGGATTTCCTGCTGAAATGGTCCATCGAAGAGATTATCTTAACCAAAGAGAAGAAGAAAAGATAAAAGACTCAAAAGAGGTTAGGGATTTTCTGTATAACGTTTAAGCAAGTTTCCAGTAAGGTCCATTTCTTGCTGCTAAATTGAGGTTCAGTACAACCTATGTGTGGGTGAATTGCGATCGTTGGCACGGTAGAGGTGGGTGGATTTTGGTTCGCTTGGTTGGGGTTGGGTGAAGGAAGGTGGGGGTAAGTGTGAGGGTGGGAAAAAGATGAACTGTTTCGGATAAAGTTTTGGGTTTTTGATTTCATGGTCAATCAAGATGAAGTTTTGGGCTAAATACACAGACAGAGTTCCTTAAGGCCACTATCATAGCACAGAGCGCACATTCGGTTTTGGGGACTCCATTCACGAGCTTATTGAAGCGTTCTTGAAGTACCAAACTCAAATTTGCATATTTGGGATGTGGTGTGAGTGGCTGGAGAAAAAGAAGGTGGAATGAGTTTTTAATTTTAATTATTTGATTTTAGTTATTTTATTATTTAAAAAGGTAAAATTACCATTTTAACCTTTTAAGATCATTCAACATTATTGTCAAACTCAATTATTTGGTCAACTAATGATCAAACTAACAGAAACCATCCATTTGGACTTCAGCTACGAACATTTTGAAAGGTTTGGTATCGTTGTTGGAAAAAATGAAAGGTTTGGAACCGTAAGTGTCACAAATGAAAGATTTGGGTAAAGTCTGCTACTAAATGAAAGGTTTGGTACCGTTACTGCAATTATCCCTAATATAAATCATTGTTTCCCTAAAACGACAATACAAGCGTACTAACAATTAAATTTGTTGAAGTATAACTCGAACAAATAAATAGTAAATTGGGTTCAATTTGATTTCAAGTGTTTTTTGACTATCAAAACTTAAAATGAACCTTTCGAAACTGTTCGATTTTTGAAATGTTCATACCTAAACCAAACAATTTTCAAACCAACAAGTGTAAAACTCCAGTTTCGATTCGGTTTAAGTAGTCGACAACTTTAGTTCACCCCCGTTTTGAGTAGTACTCTTCATACCTTATTTCATGGAATAAATTTGTTATTGATGCGTCTTGGGGAAATTCATGTTTGGATGAATACCATTGCGGATGAATACCATTGCCAATAGGGCTGAATAATGAGATCGTCAACTATAAAATCGAACTGAAATTACTTTTTTTGAAATCATTGGTTTAAGTCCATGTGAATTCATCAAAATTTTGATTTTGACCCGAACTAAATCGTTTTGAAGTGATTTGATTTATATTTTAATATTTACATATCGTTTCAAGAGGTCATATCGTTTTAAAAATGAAAATAAATTAATTTAAATTATATCCAACCAAATTAAAACTAAACACATCCCAATTAAAAAAATAAATCCATATTTGACATAATCCAATTAAACTCGATGCCTATAAAGATAAGGGAAAATTGCAGTCAAAGTACCAAACATTTCATTTAGTTGCAAGCTTGCCCAAACCTTTCATTTTACCACCCATGGTATCAAACCTTTAAAAATATCGCAGCTTCAGTCCTCATTGACGGTTTTCATCGATTTGACCATGAAAATCGTTAGTTGATCCTAGAAACAAAAAAAATATATAATTTTCACCAAATAGACAAGCAATTTCGAAATTACACACTTTCCCTATCTATTATTGAACAATTGTAGCCCTTAGAACCTTGACAATGTCAAACTTCATCCCTAACTTTGAGTTTTTTTTTTCTCAAAGTTACCTTTCTACTATGTACCTTTCAATTCAAGAGAATCATTCCCAATTAACAAATTGTTTTAAACCATAACTCAAATGGCATTCTCATTTACCCCACACCAACCACAACACCAATCCCCATTCCAACCCTCGCCATTTTCCCAAACCACTCTAATTCAATTGTAGCAGCAACAATTTCAATTCCAACCCCAACAGCCACAACTTCAACAGCAACCCAATATACGGTGGCTTCTTAATCTATCCGTTTTTCAGTTTGTTAGATCCATTAGTTTTTTTTATATGCTTGCTTATATTAAGAAAGAGGATTTTACTGGTACTCATCATTTCATCGAATGTAGGTGTTTCTTTTGGTGCATGTTGAAGTTGGTTCCAACTATTGCATCCTAAAAATAGCAAAAAAAAAAAAAAAATAGGAAATTATAATTTCAGATCTTGATGACCTACCA